TTCCAGGTACAATTTATGAATGTTAGACATCTTACACCATTGCATTTTGTGGAGAAGTTAGCAAAGGAGCTTGGAGTTTGTGGAGTTGTGGCAGGTAAACTAAAAGCTGTGTCAGCTCTAAGTTTTATTTGTCTCAAAATTATCAAGTAAAAGGTTAATCCAGATAATTTGAAATAGGTTGTTTCAATGGCTAATTGTCGCAGGTGAGAACTATCGATTTGGCTATAAAGCTACTGATGATGCTTCAAAATTGGTGAGGCTGTGTGATGAGTTCGGTATGGGTGCTTACATAATAAATTCTGTGATGGACAGGCACCAAGAGGCCAGAAATATAAAATTTTGTGATTTAAAAGAGAGAGGACAAGTTTCGTCTACACGAGTTCGACATGCTCTAGCTGTAGGTGACATGAAATACGTGTCAGAGCTTCTAGGCCGCCAACATTGTCTGTTATTGGTGGTGAAAGACTTGGAAAGCTGAACTAGTGCTAGCAGTAAACATAGGTTGTCAGCTCCAAAGTCTTTTTTGCTAAATCTACCACCAAAAAATGGTTTTTATGAGAACTGTTCTCTTTTATTTGGAGAACGAAACCCAGTAACATGTAGAGTATCTATTGATGCAACGCATATCCACCTAGAAGTGGACCAGGTAGACTTGTGTGATTGTGATTACGTTCTAAACATTCAGGTCTTGGGTATTGAATTTGGTGAATTAAGAGTTAATTGTGTTTAGTATATTTTTCATATGTTATTTCATCTCAGGAAAGTATTTCATGGTTGAGAAGTTTCATTCATGTTTTAAAGCATTTAGCATATATATTCTCCATATAAGAGGGGCCTGTATTTCTCTATCAATTAAATTATATTTGCATATTGCACATGAATGTAGGATGTCTATTCCATTCTTTAAGTTGGAAATGGATAATGTTTTCCTGTCCCAAACTTTTCTTTTATTGTATTGATTAGGTAGCTGGCTCAAAAAATTTTCCGAATGAATTTGTGTTGGCTTGAAGGATTTTCATTTATCAGTGCCTAAGGCGAATAGGTGAGTGTTTGGATTCTTAAACTTCATTGCTTGTGTTTGTTTCCTCAGGAATCGTAAGCATGCTTTCAGTTGACTGATGGTTTGTCTGTTCTAGTGCTTAAACTTTAAAATAGGCTTGAATATTAATTGCAATGAGGCTGGAAGGAAGTAAAAGCAAGTCCTTGGATGATCCATAAATTTTTGGGTAAAGTTGGGAAAATATACAAGTTGTAGCTTACTTCTGGTCTTGAGAACTAGCCTTTTTTTTCATTTGTTTTAACTTTTGGAAAGTTAGGGCTTGATCCATGTTTTTCTTGAGGCATGATGCATATTGCTCCATTTATTTTCGAGGATGTATCTTTCTTAAACATTATTTGAAGAGAGGAATGTGTTATGTGGCAGTTCATTACTTGTTGAAGGTATTACATGACGAACTAGTTGAGAGAATATGATTTATGTATATATTGGTAATTGGCTTCAAAACTAGTTCTTGCACTTCATCTAGTTACTTTAATTGTATCATTTTGAATTTGGTTGCTTTGTTTATTACTCAACATTAGAGTATTTGAAGGTTAATTAAGAATCTCTGTTGATTATTTCTCTTGTTTAATGGTTTCTAGTATAGAACAATTCTGCATTACTACAGTTGGTTATTAAATAGTGATATGCATTTGTCATGTATTTGTTCAATTGTTTGTTCTTGTTGCTGATAGTTGGAAAGTTTTGGCAGCGTGGAGTTATTTCCAAGTTCATTACTTATAAATAGCATGGTGAAGTCATGCTTTGCACTTAAGAATAAATAACTTTATGAAATCAATGTATCTTGATCTTGTATGACTTTTGTCAACTTGGGTTTCTTCTCTGGCTTTGAGTACAATCAGCAGGTATCTGATTTGTAGGGGCTTTTCTCATGCTTTAGTTGTTATATTTTATTTTCATTAAACTTTTCTGAGAGAGAATTTAAGGTCATCCCCTCCTCCCTCCCTTCCTTTCGCCTAACATGCTGCTGAAAGAACAGTTATTATGGTATCTTAGGACCCCGAGGATATCCATACCCAGAATGATAATATCTTGGCAGATTGGGCAACAGCTATTCTCTGCAACTGGGTTCAGTGCAACTTCATTCACATTCAGCTGATGACTTGATAATGTTTTCTGCAACATGTCAGCACAAGTTTCTGCATATCAGGTAAGATAAAATTCCAATAAAAAATTGAAACTTTGCTAGTGCCTAATTCCCAGTCCCTTTTTTTTGTTTTGTTTTGTTTTGTTTATTTGGTGTCATCCTGAAACTTGATGGTGTTTGGATCATTTGATCAGAGCAGCCGATGATAGCATTTTCTAAGGAAGACTCAACATGTATGAAAACTATTTTGGATAGCTTTCTTCTTTGGAGTCAATGGTGCATGGATTTGTGCTTACGTTGTTTGTGTTTTATGTTTATTTAAGCATCGTTGCAAACTGTATGTTGGGAATTTGATATGTTCGATTACGATCCCTAGTTCTTACACGAACCCTTCCTGGCATTTTCTCATTCAACAGTTGTGGGGGTTTCTTTGTTTGAACAACCATGTAAGTCCTTCAGTATCTTATTTTGTCATATTTTACCCAGCTTTTTACAGTCAGAGAAGGTGAAGACTTTTATTTCCTTCAATTTTTTCTGAATTTCAGACTTGGAATCCAAAAAGCCTTGCCTTGGAAAGGGAATGGATTCCATTTCTGTAGATTTGCTATAGCAACCTTATGTCCCAATGAAAAAGATCCCAGAATAGAATTTGGACAAATGTCATCAAAGGCATAGCATCCATGATGATTTATCATTAAATTATGAATTATTTGTATTAAATTATTTGTGATTTATCACTAAGTTATTGGTGATAATTATAAAATTATAATTGATTTATTACTAATTTATTGATTATTTATTAAAAAGTTATAAATGATTAACTTATTTATTATTAACTTATTATTAATTTAAATTAAATTATTAGTAATTTACTATTACGTTATTAGTGATTTATTGTTAAGTTATTAATTTATTATTAAATTACTAATAATTTATTATTTCATTTGATATATTTATTATAATGTTATTATTGATTTACTTCTTAATTTACCGATTATTTATTAAAAAGTTATAAATAATTAATTAATTTATTATTAAATTATTACTGATTAAATTAAATTATTAATAATTTACTATTATGTTATTAGTAATTTATTGTTAAGTTATTAATTTATTATTAATAATTTATTATTTTATTTTTATATAGTAACTATATAAAAATTTTTAACTTTATTTTAATTAAAATTAATTATTATTTTGATATATAAATGATTCTCAGTTTCTTTTAAATTATCATCAATTTGTGTAAAGATATTATTTTAATTTTTTAAAAATATTTGATATCATTTTGATTAATTTTAATTATTTATTAACAAAATTATTATTTGACATGAAATAATTTAAATAATTTACTAATTTTATAAATGTCAATTATTTAAATATATTTTATATAAATTTAAATTTATTGTACTTAATGATCATTTTTTTCTCATTAAAATTCATTTTACCATTATCGTTACTTTATAATCAAACACATATTCTATTACTAATTTTAAATTTATCATTACAATAATTAATTTCACATTCACAGTTTTCAATTTTATTGAAATTAATCTTACAGTCCATTCAAATAGATCTTTAAGGGATCTTTAAGAGTGTAAATGAGTTAGAATTGTTCATTATAAATCGTGAGATATTCAAGTTTAACTTGAAAAATACTAGAGTTTGATTTGTTTATTACCTAGTTTGAATTACTCATATAACAAGTCAAGCATAATTCAAGTATTTTAATACTTGATTTAAAAGTTCAATTAACTTAATCAAATTTTTATATTTTAATATATCTAATAATATATATAAATAATGAAACTATAAAGTTTAATATTTATATTTATAATTTTATCAAATTTAATTGAATCTATTTAACTAAAATTGAGTGATCGATGTAATTTACGACTCCGATTTGAATATATAAAAAAAAAAAAAAAGACTCATGTTGCACCTCGAATTCAAGTTTATAATCAAGCCAAATTTACCAAATTTAAGTTGGACAATATATCGATTGGATTTGACTTTCCCGCATAAATTCAACAGTTTTAGCCTATATTACTTTTACGAAAACTTGTGAAAGCATTTGTATCCAATGGGATTATGAGAATCGAGTAAATGCTTTAGTTGGCTGCATCTATTTACCATTCTAATCTCCAATCTTTTACACTAAAAGAGGTATAAGTATTCGGGAAATGGTGATATTTTTGTTCAAATACGAAAACCCTAGAGTGTGTTTCATTTAATTAATATAGTGATCATTCGGCATTAATTTTAAAATTTCTTTGGTTGATTTACTATGTTTTATTCTCATTAAATATATATTGAGAAAAACTTAACACTGATTGAAACCATAAGTTCAATATTGAATTTAAATCTGGAAAAGATATCCCTCCTTAAATGAAGATTTTAAAATAACATTTTTTTTTAAGGTGAAAGGCAAAATATTTTCATATGAGTATTTTTGGTCTGGTGTAAACGCTATTTCTTCTATGTCCAAATCATTTTATCTTATTAACGAGTCAATATAATTCCAAACAAGAACAATAAAGAGATTTTTATGTCTATTTGAAAATTATTTATGTCAATAATTCTGTGATTTATTAATAAAGTGTTCGGTTTTTTGTTTCAATTATCTGAATTTGTTATCAGGCAATATCAATTAGCAAGAAAATTATCAACAAAAATCAAATTATAATTTTTTTTAAGTTTAATTTTTTTATCATTTGACAAATAGAAGGACACATTAAAAAAAAAAAAAGACTATATTTTCTATAAGTAGCCATTTTTATATTATTTGAAGTAAGAAAGCAACATCGAAATTTGGAACCCAACTTTATTAGTTTTTCATTTTTTTTTTTTTTGTTAAGAACAGTTGATATGGGAGGAAAGGGGGCTGAAGGGAAACGAAGTATCCCAAGCATAGTTGAAATTGAAATCACCGAACGGAGGCACAGGCTGCCCATTGTTAACGAGGCATTCCCCTCCTGATTTAGCCAAAACTGAAGGATCTATGGTTTCCACCGTCTGAAATCCATTGCAGCTCAATTTCAGTTCAGACTGGGAGCATGAGCAACGATTAGAGATTGTCACCTTCCATTCAGGCTTGTTTTCCACAGTTTTTCCTGTTTGAGAATGGCTGATCTTAATATTGTCCAGAGAGCATTGGCAATGTCCTGGTAAAACAATCACATGCAAAATTAAGAGAGCAATAAGATACAAAAACAAATATATTTGCCATTGGCGTTGATCAGTGTCGCATGTAATTTGACATCCATATACATAATATATATATATATATATATATGTATATAGCTTTACCTTGGCCAATGAGAGAGAGGAAAAGAACTGCAAATATCAAGTTCAGAATGGCTGCCATTGTAGTTTAATTTAATCTGAATTAAGCTCTACTACTGCTACTACTACCACCACTAGCTGGTAGTATTTATAAGCAGAAAGTTGGTAGACAACTATATATGACAAGAAATCAAGAAATAAGGCACAGGAGATTTAAATTGACCAATTAGCTTTCATAATCCACGCTATTTTTGTAGCAAATAAAAATAATAGATTTAAATGCTCATTAAGTGATATATTAGCAAGAGTTTATGAGAAAAAGATTTAGTTCTCTTTTTTTCATATTTGGAAAAAAGTATTTTTTTATAAAAAAATCATATATAAATTATAAGTACTGAAATTGGAATTTTAAATTTTTTTTTATGTTATTTCGATTACATAAATTAATTGAATTAAATTATCATTTCATGTTTTGAAAAATATATTGCTTGTTTGAAATGTTGATTATATCATATTTGACTGTTAAGGCCACAAATTTACTCTCTCTACTTGACATGGATCCAAAATGGATTTTACCTTTCTAAAATTGTTCAGATACTTTGCCTTTTTCTGCACATAAAATTAGGTATGTTGGTGTGCTCTAAACTAATCTCCAACTTTAGCTTGATTTCCATGTTAGTAGACCAGTTTTTGGTACATGTGTGATGCATGTGTAATTAATATTTATAAAAATTTATTTTAATAAATAAAATTTATATAATAATAATAATAATAAATAAATAAATACTAATTTAATTTTGATTTTGGTAAATATAAACAAAATTTAATAACTGTTTATATAAATTTGATTTTTATACTTTCGATAAAGTATTAGTAACATTCGATATAATTTTGGTAATTTTTGAAATTAATTTAGTAGCTTAGGATAAAATTTACTCTTTCTACTTGACATGGATCCAAAATGGATTTTACCTTTCTAAAATTGTTCAGATACTTTGCCTTTCTCTGCACATAAAATTAGGTATGTTGGTGTGCTCTAAACTAATTTCCAACTTTAGCTTGATTTCCATGTTAGTAGACCAGTTTTTGGTACATGTGTGATGCATGTGTAATTAATATTTATAAAAATTTATTTTAATAAATAAATTTTATATAATAATAATAATAATAAATAAATATATACTAATTCAATTTTGATTTTGGTAAATATAAACAAAATTTAAAACTGTTTATATGAATCTGATTTTTATACTTTTGATAAAGTATTAGTAACATTCGATATAATTTTGGTAATTTTTGAAATTAATTTAGTAACTTAGGATATAATTTTAAATACCAATTAAATGATATATTAGAAAGAGTTTATGAGAAAAAGATTTTACTAATTAAATTTTGACACGTGCATGATGCATATGTAATTAATATTTATAAAAATTTATTTTAATAAATAAATTTCTTATATTATAATTATAATAATAATGATAAATACTAATTTAATTTCGATTTGGGCATAATGTAAGTAAAATTTAATAATTTTTTATATAAATTTGATTTTTATACTTTTGATAAAGTATCAATAACATTCAATACAGTTTTGGTAACCTTCAAAATTAGTTTGATAACTTATAATATAATTTTGGTAACCATTGATAAAATTTTGGTAAGCTTTTGATATAATTTTAGTAATTAACCTTCTGGTAACTTATGATATTCTTTTTGTAAATGTTATTAAATTTGTGCCATTATATATTTAACAATAGATTCTCGTAAGAAAGTATATGCTTAATTCTAATATAAGATAATTTTTTTATATATATAATAACATTATTGTTTCATTCAAATTTAGAATTTTTTCACTAAATTTTTTATTGAGTAGATTCGTGATAAGTTTATCTTAATCTTTCAAAATGAAATTTCTAGTTTCGTTTTCATTAGTAACCAAGATTCAATTCTTGATAATTTCAAATATAAAAAAATTTATTAATGATTGACAATTAAATAATTATTAATTTACTATTATGTTATCAGCGATTTAATATTAAATTATCAATTATCTACTGTTAAATTATAAACGATTTACTACTAAATTAGCATTGATTACTATTGATTTATGAGTGATTTATTATTAAGTTATTGACTAATTTATTGTTAATTTATTAATGATTTACTATAAAATAATTAATGATTAGCTAATTTAGTACTTGATTATTACTAATTTATGATTAAGTTATTAGTGATTTATTATTAAATTATAAAAAATTTACATATAAATTATCAATGATTTATTATTATATTATCTTTAATTTATTACTTAATTTTTTGATTATTTATTATAAAATATATTGCTTGTTTAAAATGTTGATTGCTTGCTTGAAATGTTGATTATATAAGATTTGACTATTAAGACCACAAACTTACTCTCTCTACTTGACATGAATCCAAAATGGATTACCTTTACAAAATTGTATTGATACTTTGTATTTTGTGCACATACAATTGGGATGATGTTGTACTCTAAATTAACTTCCAACTTTAGCTTTATTTCCATGTTAGTAGATATTGTATATTTTTAAAGTATTTTTATAGTCCACTTAAGAAATTGGTTTTATTAAGGTAATTATTTTTTAAAGGTCGTTATAAGCTAGTTTAATATTATTATTATGGTTAGAAAAAAAATGATTTAAAAAAATGTGTTTATAAATATGGTAAAAAATTATTATAAAAATTTATGATTTAAGATTTTTTAATATTTGACATTGTTATGAAAATTTATTGTAAAAATTAAAATACTTGCAAATGACATGATAATGAAAGGAGAGGAGTGGATTATTTTCAATATTATTTAAATAAATTAATATTAGGATATAATAAAAATAAATTTAAAATTCTTTTGAAGTAATTAATATAAATTATTGTAAATTTAATTTGAAAATATAAAAAATGTATTTATTAGTTGAGGATATTTTTTGATTGAGTGGATACTTTAGAATCAAATAATAATAATATTATTATTATTAAAGATAATCGCAATTATTTATTGGTTAATTTTCTTAGGTCCCGTTTGGATCAGTTTTTAACGTTAGTGTGGTGCGAGTTTATCACTTTTTGTCCTATTTTGCACAGCAGAAAGCGTTTGGATAACCAAAAATCAGCGCGATTGTTTTCACTGAGCCCAAAATTTCAATTGGATGGAGCAGGCCTCAATGGAGATTTCCCTAATCCCTACCATGGCAACCCCTTTTCCTTCTATGAAATTGCTTTTTGTTTTTTGTTTTACCTTTAAGATTACCGTATAGGGATGAATATGTCCCTTGAACTTAACCTTTTTTAAAAATTTTGATTTTTGATTTAATAATTTTCAAATAATTTTATTAATTTAATTTAAATAATTTTTTTATAATTATATAATAAACTAATTAATAAATAACTACAGATTAAATAAATACATAGATAAATAATGCATTCTATAATTAAATAAATTATAATAGATGAGATAAATAAATATTATTTTGACAACAAAATATTCATATAAATAACTAAAATAATAAATAATTAAAAGTATTTTATTAATTTTTAATTTTATGGAAATATATTATTATTAATTTTTTTAAAAATATTACTTTATATATTACTACTATTTTTTAACTTTTATTTATTTGTTTGATATTTATTAATTAATAAATAATCTAAAACTTTTATTTTATATAAATTTTAATTTTATATTTTATATTTTCACTACACTTCATTTAGAGATGACAATGAATCAAGTAAGGATAAATTTTTGTGTACTTCAACTCCAACGTAACTCTTAAAATAATTTACTCGAGTACTCCAACCTGATATCAAGTTATTATTTTTGATACTCTGACTTTGACCCGATATGTACATGTACAACCCATGTTCGACTTGCATTTAATGCAAAATTAATTTAATAATTTTAATTTAATATAATATTTATAAAATATTATTTTTAATATAAATTATTCTTAATTATATAAAAATATAGTATTTTATTAAATTTATATCTTAAATTAAAATATTAATAATAATTTTATTAATATATATATACATATATAAATATAAAATTAAATACATAATATATATACACACACAGTAGGACAAGTTGGATGAAATACCCTAAAACTTGCGTCCAGCCCGAGCTCAATTTAAAAAAAAAGCCATCCACTTCTTATTAAAAAAATGATTATTTTGGATTAAGATGGATCACAATCCGTCTGATACATTATTACTATCTGTAATTTTACCTTATCATCATTGTTATATTTGCATCTAAACATATATCTCATTATTATTATTAATTTTATGAATATAATAACTAATTTCATTTCTACTACTATTTTTAAGAGGTATATAAATGCACCACAATTTTTTTATCTTCACATCCCAATTTATTTTAAAAATTTTTTGTAAGTGAAATTACTTAATTATACTTCTCACAATTTTTCAGATACTCATATTTGGTAAGTTTTATAACTTACTTGAAATTCATTTTCAATAAATTATACTAGAAATGAATTTCTAAAAAGTTATATAACTTTTTAAAAATTTATTTTCAGTAAATTTTATAACTTTTCAAAAATTCATTTTTATAAAGAAAGCATATAAACTTTTTAGGAAAATTATAAAAAGAATTTTTTAAAATTTTTTATTAATTGATATAATGAAAAAATTTATTATTTAAAATCATAAATTTTAAAATTAATAAAAAGAATTTGATTTTATTATTTTGATCTTAGATAAAAAAATAAAATCTTAAAAGACTTTAATTAAACATTTTATCTCGTGATGCTATGAAAGATGAGTAAAGAAACTATTAAATTTGATCAACATCTAAGCTTAAACACCTTGAAATTGTATAAACAACATTATTGAATATAAAATTAAATACACATAACTAGAGAATTTTATTGTGATAAATAGATAAAAAATTCACTAAAAAATTCAATTTGATTAGAACTATTATAAAATTTTTATAATCGACACAAAAAAAATTTATTAAAAAAGAAATGATAAAATTTAAATTTATAAAAAATTACAATTATTATTTAATCCTTAATTTAT